GACTCTTTAAAATATAAGAATACCCACCCCCATTAATTAAACTATATCCAGAAGTTAGCTGTAGTACAGTTATTGAAAGCTCATAGTGTGAAACCCTGGCCTATGAATTAGTAATAACAGGGCAAAATGCAATACAGAGTAGCAGGTCCATAGTCTCAAGACAGGATGAAAGCCACAATAGCCAAAGTTGCCAGCTATCTGTTGGGTAGGGTATAAGTGGAACCACTCTTAAGTAATTAAACTATATCCAGAAGTTAGCTGTAGTACAGTTATTGAAAGCTCATAGTGTGAAACCCTGGCCTATGAATTAGTAATAACAGGGCAAAATGCAATACAGAGTAGCAGGTCCATAGTCTCAAGACAGGATGAAAGCCACAATAGCCAAAGTTGCCAGCTATCTGTTGGGTAGGGTATAAGTGGAACCACTCTTAAGGTTGGCTTTTACTGGGGGTCAGGGGTGGGGATACCCGTTTTTTTGCTCTCATTCTGTTACATGCACTGTCTCCCTCTATGGCAAGGCAGAGTGTTGTTGAGCTTGTGAAGTCTTTGGTGTCATAGTACAGAGATGAAGGCACTTTGTTGGTTCTTCTATGGGCAGTGAATGGCTCCCAAGCACATTAGGAATGAACATGGATGCATGAACACACTTTGCTGTAGCTCTTTAGAGTAGAAGTTTGGATACTTCCCAGTGTCTCCTAGCTGGCTGACCAGGATAGAGGGCTGGAACCATTAGCTAAGTAATTGCTACGTACTTGCGAATAAACTGCTACTGAATATTGAAAGCATTTTCCACTGCCACTGGGAAGGGGTACAGTGACAGACTCCTGGTAGAGTTAGAAATTGCTGGGCCCCAGGTGTAGGCTCTCCCTGAGGCATTTAAGCTGCTCTTCTCCAAGCTTGATTTTTTCCTCCAGCTCTCTCTGTTCAATGATAAGAGCAGATTTCATTTTCACAAAGTGCTGGTAATCTTGTAGCTGGTCTTGAGGCAGGTATCGGGAGACCATGCTGAACACCAGTTTCTCCCTGCGGTCCACATGCTCCTTCAGCTCCTTGGCATCTGCCAACTGGCCAGTCAACTGCTGCTTCTTTTCTATCAGCACCAACTGGGGAAGCAGAGGACCAATTAAGGGCTATCTCAATCACCAGGTATCTACCAGAAGCCATTCACCAAGAAGGCAGCCACAAAATAACTATCCATTCTGCTAATTAATCAGCCCTAGATTTACTGCTGTGAAGTCTACTCCCATGCCTTTCCTGTAGCTGGAAGAAGATATGCACAACAGCAATTTTGGAGAGGAATGTGTGAAATCACCTCTTCTATCTTTAGGTTATCATTAAGCCATAGAGCACCTCTTGGTTTAGCATCAAGGAAGGTCTGACAAAACCAACTTGAATCCTTTCAATCTACTGAAGAAACATCACTGTGATAATGCTTTCTCTGTGGTGTCTCTATGTGTGAGGTATGCACCTGTATGTGTGCGTATACATATGTACCTCTTACTGTGGATTCAAAGCCACTGCTTTTTAAAAAATATTTTATTTGTTATTTTTATTTTATGTTTATGAGGGTATTGCCTGCATGTATGTGAGTGCACTCGTGTCATGCAGTGCCACAGAGGTCAGAAGAGAGCTCCGGATTCCCTTGGAACTGGAGTTAAGGATGGTTCGTAGCCTGGAATTTTCTTCGGACACAATCACAGAGTGAGCCAACACGTGAAACTGAGGGCCTCTTACCAACTCTAGGGGGATCAGAGGCAAATTTGCCATGGCAGCAGCAGCAGCAGCAGCTGGTGCTAGTGCTGATTCCACATTTAACATCTTTCAGGCCCTATTTTAAGCAATTAACAGTTATCTAAATCCTCATGAAGTAGGTAGTATGGTAACCTCATTTTATAAATGAAGCAATTGAGAAAGAACGCGGTTAAGTAAGTTGCCTACAGTTATGCAGTCAGTAAGCAGGGGATTCCGAATTTCAGTGTAATTAAAAGCCAGTGCTCATACTCTTAACACTCTGTTCTTCTGTCTGTCTCTCTTAAGGCTAAACTTGAAAGCATTAGTTGCAAAAACAGATGGCAATTCCCCCATTTACACCCGCAGGGTCCCCACCTGTACCTTCTCCTGGGTGGCCTCTGAATCGATGCTGTTGAGAGCATTCTCTACTCGGGCTAGTCTTCCAGAGAGTGACAGCAACAGGTTGACCACTTTGTCCAGGTCGCCAATAAACAAACGGTACTTTTCAAACTCATTGGATTTACAGACAGCTTTTAGGTTGGCCTCTACCTCCTCTCCAAGGGCAGAATTGGCATTAATGTCATCCAGTAGCCCTCGTTGGGCCTCCCGCAGGACAGAAAGCTTTCGGCCAATGCTTTCAATGAGCTGAATCTAAAGGAGTTAAACAGTAGACACAGGATGAGCATGGTCATTAACAGAAACTTGTCTAGGCTTAGCTGGACACATGTCCATAATCCTGGCACAGGGAAGGTGGAGGAAAGACGGTTGCAAGTTCCAGGCCAACCTGGGCTACATAGTGAAACCTTGTGTCAAAGAACAAACTAAAAATGGAAGAAAAGAAGAAAGGGAGGGAAGTAGGGAGGGAGGGAAGAGAGAGATCGTGGGGGTGGATCCTGAGCAAGCCATGAACAATTCCAGTTTTCTGGTACTTCCCCTCCCTGTTTAGTAGGTGTCCTAGTTACTTTCTATTGCTGTGATAAAAGCACTGACCAAAACCAAGTTGGGGAAGAAAAGGTTTATTTGGCTTATAGCTCACAGTCCCTCATCAAGGCAAGCCAAGGCAAGAACTCAAAGCAGGAACTGTGGAGGAACACTGCTTACTGGCTTTCTCCTCTGGCCTATTTCTGAACAATTTCTTGTACAACATAGGACCACCTGCCCAGGAATGGTAGCACCCACTGTGGGCTGGGCTGTCTCACATTACTCAGCAATCAAGAAAATGCCCCACAGACATGGACACAGGCCAATCCAAAGAAGGAAATTACTCAATTGAAATTCTCTCCAGCCAGGTGTGTCAAGGTTGACAACTGAAGCTATCCAACACAGTAGGCATCTCGATGTCACTACCAAAGTTTTTTGCATTAGGTAAGTAATACTCATGATCCAAGCCATATTTGCAAAATGCAACTGAGACTGCAATAAATAGGAATTAGAATGCTTGAGAGATCCTAGGTTGGAAAATAATTTGTCATCATTTATTCACTTCATTCATTTTCCTTCACTACTAATGGCGCTGTGCTAGGTCCTTGCCCCCCTGGCCCACTTCTGAGGTATTTGGATGAGACTGAAAATTCTGGAGTCACAATGACTGGGTTTGAATTCTAACTCTGCCAATTTCTAATTGTGGGACCTTGGATAACTTGACTTAATTGAGCTTCACTTTCTTTGTAGAAGGAATATAGATAACCGCAGTGCTCATTGCACTAGGTGGTAATGATTCAAAAATGATTGCAAAGGGCTTAGCACAGAATATGTGTTCAATAAAAGACAGGGCAGTATTACTGCTATTGTTCAATTTGACTCTTGGTTATCTACACTTCTCAGAACCTTTAAGGTTTAGCTCCGCACTCTGCTGTGTTCATAACCCTCATTCTTGTCTTCCTGAATTGCTTCTGCAATTATTCCTGGTCTTTAGCTCTTCACTATGGCTATTCATGTTCTTTCTCCAAGGTCCAGGGGGAAAGGAAGCCTTCTCTCCACGATATCTTTCTTTTCTGAGCTTTAAAGTATTTTACTCTTGGGGGTGCAGCTCAGTCCATTCCCAGAACTGCAAACAAACAACTCCCCCATAAATCAACAACACAAACAAAAAAGTCAAGACTTTGAGAAGTAGATTATACCTTACAGTATAATCTGAATTTGTTCCCATTCTATTTCATGTGCGTGAGTCCAATCTCCCATTGTTTATTATAAATTTCTCAGGGGAAGTACTGCCTGTATGTTAGTTTTTTCACTGCTGTGACAAAATACCTGAGCAAAACAACTGAAGGGAAGAAAGACTTATTTTGTCTTACAGTCTCAGAAGTTTTAGCCCATCACAGGTAGAAGGGTATGGTGGAACAGAGTTCACATCATGGCAGCCAGGAATCCTTTCTCTCTGTATTACATCTGGGTCCCCAGTCTATGGGATGGTGTCACCCACATTCAGGCTGTGTCTTCTCCCCCTTATTTATTTTTCTGTGGAAATATCTTCACAGTCACTCCCAGAGAAGTGCTTATAATCTTTTAGGTACCTCCCAGTCCAATAAACTTTGACAATCAAGATTAATCATCATAGCCCTTGCCTTCCAGTTTACAAACTCAACTAACTTTGTGAATGTATCCATAGAAACACCATATGGTAAAGTGGAATTTTGTAGTGACAGAAAAACCTAGATACCAATGAATCTTCTGAGATCTTTGTAACCTTGGATCTAAGGGGTTTGCTTCTTCCTCATCTTTAAACTGGAGCACTCCACCTTCCCCAAGGGTTCTTGTGTGGTTTTCAATAAATGTGATGACAGAAGCAAAACACTTATCCTTGTGTCTAGGACATTAAGTGCTCAATGTCTATTTTGCATTATTATTATCATCAATATTATTATTATTGCTATTACTGCTAAGCCCTCTGAAGGATATATATCTAGGGGCTGGGGAGATGGCTCAGTGGGTAAGGTAGTTTACATGAAGACCTTATTAAGCAAGAAGATCAAAAGAGATGGGCACAGTAGAAAGTGCCTATAACCCCAGTGCTGGGGGATCATGGAGACAGGAGGATTTCCAGAGCTCACTGATTAACCAGTTTAGTCAATCAGTAAGCTTCAAGTTCAGTGAGAGAATCTGCCTCACAAAAATAAGGTGAGGGGCCAGGCGTGCTGGCACACGCCTTTAATTCCAGCACTCAGGAGGCAGAGGCAAGCGAATCTCTGTGAGTTCAAGGCCAGCCTGGTCTACACAGTGAGTTCCAGGACAGCTGGGGCTACAGGGAGACCCTGTCTCAAAAAAGACCAAAAATAAATAAATAAGGTGGGAAGCAACTAAAGATGAAACTCGATGCTAACCTCTGACCTGAATAATACATATTCATATACATACCTACACCAGAGAGAGAGAGAGAGAGAGAGAGAGAGAGAGAGAGAGAGAGAGCGAGAGAGAGAGAGAGCGAGAGAGAGAGAGAGCGAGAGAGAGAGAGAGCGAGAGAGAGAGAGAGCGAGAGAGAGAGAGAGCGAGAGAGAGAGAGAGCGAGAGAGAGAGAGAGCGAGAGAGAGAGAGAGCGAGAGAGAGAGAGAGCGAGAGAGAGAGAGAGCGAGAGAGAGAGAGAGCGAGAGAGAGAGAGAGCGAGAGAGAGAGAGAGCGAGAGAGAGAGAGAGCGAGAGAGAGAGAGAGATTAGACAGATGATAGATGATAGATAGATAGATAGATAGATAGATAGATAGATAAAGACTACTTGTCTGGCTTAGAGGTTTTGAATGGCATAATGCCATCCCAGGTTGCCTACAGCCTTTGTAAGCAGTATTGCATTGAATTATGATTAAGATATCACAGGCTTTAGTGACAGACTACCTGAGTTTGAACCCCAGCTCTGGCATAAAATAGTGGTCTGCAAGGAATTATTCAACCTCTGTGTGTCTCAACTTCTCTACATCAAAAAATAGGATAGTAGTATCAATCTCACAGAGTGGTTATGAGAATTAAATGAACTAATATGTGTTACATGATAGGACAGCATTTGTACACAGGAAGTATGCTTCATTCAGTATTTGATTTATTATTATAGTGTAGGCAGTCTGGGACCATAGGCTTGGAGTTTCTAGAATGTGTTCCTATCTAGTAGTTTATTGAGAAATGGTAAAGGTGACCAAGAGTAATAGAGCTTCCCTGGGTTTCAAGGCCTCTTGTTATATTTTAGAACTGTTAAGAAGTCAGAAAATCACCATGATCATGGTCTGAAGTATGGGGAAATTTTCCAAAGCTGCTGGGAACTATGGATCAGTGATATGAATGAGGAAACAATTGTATTTCAAGACATTCCCAATTATTTTTGCCACCTTCCACACTCCCATACAAAAGTCAGTGTGTCAAAGGATGACCCACTCGTATTATTACTTACTCACCAAGGAGGCCAGCCTCTGTGGATTGATGGAAGAATGGAAGTGGAATGAGCCGTTTTGTTTCTCAGTACCTAGGCTCTATAACTGGAACCTAATCGTGGGGAAAATGTACCCATGGGGAGTCATCACAGACTCAGAAAGAGCTGAGCTGTTTTTCTGGAACATCACAAATTGATGACCTTCCTTGCCTTTCCTCCCCAGACACAAAAATTGTCCTACTCCACCCACAGTCATTGCAAATCACTCTCTGTTATTCTGCTTTTGCCATTTCCAGTCATCTCTATTCTCTTGGCCAGACTTTTATTATGTTTGCTCCTGGGAAGGCCAGGACCTGAGTAAGCAAGGAGCATCCCTGCCATATTCATGGAACATGGAATATGAAAAAGAGTATCTGGATCAATAAAACATCTATACTTCCATGCTTCCAATTATTTTCCTGACATTTTGCTTCAGACTGGAGGGAGGGTTTCTGTAAATGGCCTTATGTTTTCCTACAGGTCATGTCCTGAAAGAAAGAGAAATATGGGCAGAAGAGCAATTTACATTGAGTTCACATGTCCACAAAATGGCAAATTGGGCCTTTGAGGTTGCCATGACAACAACTCTATTTGCTTATGAAATAAAATAGGTAAGTGCAAGGGGGGCAAAATGATTCCAGGAACTTGATTATGAAACTAGGCTACTGGTGCTTAGAGGAAGAAAGGGAGGCTTGGAACAACAACAACATCCCCAATTTACCTATTTTGTGTTTTTAAGAGATAATTGACCATCATTGTAAATAAATAATAAAGTCTGCCAGCCTATAATTTATCCTTAGTCAGTCTGTTCTCTCTCCCAGAAAGTTACAAAGAATACAACTTAATGGCACTGCCATTGCCAGAGCTTTAATGCACCCTAGGCAAGGAATAAGCTTGTTGATTCAGAAGGACAGTACGACAGAGTAGAAATTCAGAATTTTGAGTTCATGACCTGGACCTATCATTTAGTCTGTAACTCTTGGGAAAATTTCTCCCTTCAAGTAGTAAAGAGGCAAGGGCTAGTAATATCTTCCAGGGATGGGGTTGTAACTTAGAAGTAAAGCACTTACTTTGCAAGTGCAAGGCTCTTGGTTGAACCTTAGTACTTCAAAAAAGGAGGTGCAGGGGAAGTTGATGTGGAGCTCAGCGGCAAAGTTCTTTTCTGACGTGCTAGATCTTAGGTTTGATCCCAAACACGTCAAAGAATCCCACTGTGACTATTTTGAGTTGAGAATTTAGATAAGTGGCAAAGCAGTCACTTAGAATTCCTAAGTCCCTGGGTTCAACCCCCAGCACCACACATGCAAAGCTATCTTATAGGGATGCTCTAAGACTTAAAGGGATACTGATTATTGCTACTACTGTTGATTACATAGAAGAGACTATAGAAAGGCTGTTTGATTTCTATACTGAAATATAGTAATGAAAGATGTGTTAGACATGTAGAGGAGTTGGTAATCCTCCAGATGCTTAACTAAAAGTTGAAAACCTTAGGATATACCAAAATTTTACCTTTTTTTGAGCCAGTTCATGGTCAACTTCCCCCTCTCCCAGGCTAATCTCTGCCATCTCGGGCTGGTCTTTTAACTTATTCAGCAGTTCTGCCTTGGCCACAGAAGTATTGTAATATGCTGAATAAGAGGTAGGGATTCCGGGGGTCCCTGGAGGAGGTGAGAAGTGCTGAAACTCTTGTCTGTGGGAACAAAAAGTGACAATTTAAGTACCCTTTTGAGAGGCTGCTGACTTTTCTCTTTCCTTAGTTTTCTCCGTCTATAAAATGTGATCCTATTTACCAAGTTACTAAAAAATGGATCAGAAGGCACTGTTCAAACATAAATAGGTCACATGAAGTCTATCTAGAAGTCAAGTAAAGGCAAACTTCAAGAATATAGAAGGCTTTTTTCTGTGTCCCTGACTTCAGTAGTTCATAGGATTTGTTACCATTTGGTTTGGTCATTAATAGCCTATTGAAATCTAGAAAAACTAAGAGGTCTTCAAAGTTCTGGGCTTCTGGTGATAAATGATTCCCCTTGCTTGGCTCACAGTCCTCAGGGAGGGTCTGGGAAGCAGAGAAATAACTGGGACATTCACCATTGTTTCTCTAGGCCTGCTGGCCTCCCCCTACCTATGCAGTCCCCACATAGCCAAGCTCTGTCTGATCTGCTTGCTTATAAAGGCACCCTGTGGCTTTCCTGGACACTCGTGTCTTTTTTTTTTCTTTCCTGATGCCAATCCTCCTTGAAATGGCCCCTCCACTGTAGATGTTCTAAAGCAAAAAAGGTCCCCCATGACTTCAGCTATGGTCACCATCTTGAAGGCTGAAGTTAGGAACCCTGCCAAGAATGTGTCATGGCCCAGCACACCACATCTCTCATAAGCTCTTGTGATACTGCCTCTTGTAGGGCAGTCCTTTGGCCTGAGAAGGAATGGCATCTCTCCACTTCTTGCATATCCCCTTTGGCCCCATCCACCTGCATGGTTGTAGAATGAAATGGGGGCAAAATGAAACCAGTGACACATAGAGGCTTGACAAATGTAGCAGCGGACCCTGTTGTCTTGGATTCACTGAGGCCTGAGGGACTAAGTTGTTGTTTCTCAGCACTCCAGCCTGTGAAGGAGAATTTCTCCTCAGGAAAGAAGTAAGTCTGGCTCCATGCTGGTCTAGGTTTGGATTCTTCTGCCATCAGGGCTTCTGGTCTGGTGGAAGAAAGAAAATAAATAACTGATGTAATGTCAGTTTTTAGTAATGAAGGGGTAAATGCTTCTACCCAGGGTTTAGTCTGTCCCCACTATATTCCCTTTGCCTGGCACCCACTCCCTCATCAACCTGTCTGTGTAACTATCCTTGTTAACCTCTAGTTGCTTGAAAGGGAAAATAGCAGAAGCCCATTAGATATATTTGCAGCTATTGGCAGCTCTTAGATAAAGGTCAAACATAATGTTTAAAAAGGCTCCAAACTATTTACTAATTCCTGCTATGCTATTTCCTAATTCAAAACACAAAGGAAACTTCAGCATGCCAATATTCTTTATCCTAGATAATTTTTTGCATATAGGGTCTCAAGCTTAGAACTATGATAATATTAACAGTCACACAGTGCTTACCATACCTTACAAACTGGGTAACCACACATATACACAGCATATACACATGCTCATATAGGCATGCACAACTGTATGCTCACTATAATCATTTTAAAGATGAGAAATACGAGGAAACAAAAGGTAAAGTGATATTCCCAAGGTCACATGCACGTAAATAGCACACCTGTGATTTCTTGGGTATCCCGACTCCACAATCAGTGTTTTTACCATTTATATCATGTGGCACTGACAGATGAATAGCTAGATAACTATAAACCCCTATTTGTAAAAAACTTTCTGGCGGGACTCCATCTTTGTTAGCAGAGAAGAGAATATTCTGGAGGGAATATGAAGAAATGAGTTTAGGGAACGCCTACTTAAAAGAAAAGTATTTGTGGCGTGAATGAAAATTCTGATTCAGAAACTGTAAAAAATAAAAAGTATGTGGTATGTGGAAACTCAGTTCCTCAATAGACACAGCCCTCTGTCACATCACCATAGATTATATTAGGTGTCATACTCTAGGGCTTCTCCTCATTACCTTCATGAACAAGGAAGAGATTACAGGAAATCTATGCCAACCTCACCTGAATTTGAAAGTGTCCATCCAATTAAAGGTCAGAATCTTTCCCCCAGGCACTGGGAGGAAGTGCTTAGTCCTTCAGTAAAGCAAGCTAGACCTACACTGCAGTCAGAGTTATTAGACTTGAACAGCATTTGATAATTCCAATGACTTCGTTTTATGTGTGCTCCAGAATATGTAACTGAATAGTATATGTGTCATAGAGACATTGTAATTTAGCTTGGATGAAATTTGGATGGTTTTGTTTGCATTTCAGAAAGAAAATCTTACATGTCTACTTGCTCTAACACTATTCTTGTACTTTCCTAGGGCCTGAAGAGAGTCTTACTCAAAATCTCAGAGATACTGATATAATGTTGTGGGTAGTGAGCTGGACTTACTGTGTCCTGATTACCTGTGATCTTGTGATAAAGTTTTATTACCTTCCTGGGCCTCACTTTTATCATCTAAAATTGGAGGAGACTAACTGTAACTATTTCATAGGTTTGATGGGGGGAGATTAAATCAATGTTCCAATAACCTCATTCTAAGCTAAAAATGCATGTAATACACTTAACCTGCTGAACTTCACAGCTTAGCTGCATAGAACATTGTAGAGTGTTGGTTGTTTCCCTTGTTATTATGCGGCTGTCACTGCTGCTGCTCAGCATCATGAAAGAGTATTATATGGCTTCTTGCTAGCTCAGGAAAAGAACAAATCACACAATTTGACGTGTGGTTTCTACTGACTGCATATTACTTTTACACTATTCCAAACCTCAAGAAATAGTAAATTGAACTACCAAACATCTGGAATTATATGTCCATTAAAGTGCTTAAAGTTATGCTGGGCACATAGTAAAAAGGCTAATAAATGTCAGTTATAGAAGAAATGATGCTGTTCCTCAAAACTCCATCGCTTGAAGAAGCATCTGTTTTGCAGCTAGAAAAGCCAAGACTGTGTGCACATGAATGTTTTCCCTTGTATCCTACTACTATTTTTAAAAATCTTTGGAACAAGTTGCAAGAGATCAGGTAAAAACCAGTTCCTTCTCAGTGGCCCAGTAGCGAAAAAAAAAAAAAAATCGGTCATAAAGGAGAAGGGAAGTCCACAGTCTGTAACTACTACTTATGGCACACATTGCCCTATAGGAGAAAGGATGCCTTCCTGAAGTCCTGGCCAACTAGAAGAACAGGAAAGATCTGAGAGAGGCTATAGAAAGCGAAGCAAGCCTGACTTTAGAGGGAGACAGATCTGGATTGGAGGCTTTGCTGTGCAATACTGAATTAGCTAGACCCTTACTTTGCAAAACTTCAGCTACATCATTTATCAAATGGGGCTACAATGGCCACAAGCGCTGTTGGGAGGAATAACTGAAATAATGGATATAAAACACCTAGCAGTGCCTGGCACATAGTAAATGTTTAATTAAATATATATTCAATTATCTATTTTGTTTTCTTAAATATTAGCTCCATGCCCACTATCTGCCAAGTAACCTTCCAATCTTCCAGTTGTGATACGTAACAACCACAGTACAGTTACTTTCTGCAAAACATTTTCTAATTGCAATAAAACAGTTTGAGAAGCAGCCACATGGGATCCACTAAGGGCTTCTCACCATGCCCAGGAGCTGGGCTCTATAAATAATTTCCTTGTGGTCCCTCAGAGAACTGCTCAGTTAGCATGAGAAAATCAAGTAACAAGGTTTGCCTGTCCATAAAAATTACATAAACAAGGTATTTCTAATAGCAATACCTCCCAGGCAAGAGTCTGTATTTAAAGAAAGTACTTATACTTAAGGGCTGGAGAGATGGCTCAGCGGTTAAGAACATTGACTGTTCTTGCGGAAGACCCAGGTTCGAATCCCAGCACCCACATGGCAGCTAACAACTGTCCATAACTCCAGTTCCAGGGGATCCAACAGACTAAAAAAAAACACACATACATATAAAATAAAAATAATAAATAAAATATTTTTAAAAAAAGAAAGTACTTAAGAGACACCTGTCTTCTCATCTCCAGCTGAGCTCTCTGAAAGAGGGCAGGCAGAGCTCAGAACCAAAGTATTGAGCAACAGGATCCTTGAACTTTTGCTTTGGAGCAAGAAGGATAGTGATGCACAGACAAGCACTCACACAGTGAACAGAAAGTGGCAATCCACATACCTGCTTTGACCTCTCAGCCCAAGTAGTACACCTTATCAACAACCACCTGCTGCCCCACCAGGTGGGAAGAAGAAAGGAAACATAAGGGTGGAGAAAGTGGAAGAGACAAAGAATATCCTTAGATGTTGTAAGGAATTATCAAGGCATAAGTGCCTGGCCCCAGGAATACCTTTCTTGCTGGGTTGGGAGAAGAGTTCAGAGGCCCAGGCTACTTAGGTAAAGTAGAAAAGAGCCAGGTTCCAGCAAAGACATAGATAGGCAAGAAAGGTTTATCCTTTCAGGATCAAGGGCCAGATACTGATGTACAGCTTAAAGACACACCAAGAAACACTACCATATTTTCATAATGATGCTTAGGAATAAAAGCATTAAGCTCTATTTCTTGAGTGCCTACTATGTTCTAAGCAGCAATTTATGCCATTTACATGTGTTACCTTATTGTAACAAAGAGGTAGAACAGACATCATTACGCCTGCTTTCCAGGCAAGAAGTCTGAGACCCGGAGTGTTTTAATTGAACAGGTCAATGTCAGGAAGTTGGCAAATAGTAGAGGTGAAATTTAATTCATACAGTTGGCTGCCTTTTCTGGGACCCAATACCTTTCACAAACACTTACTCTGGGGACTCTGTGGCTTCCTGCTCTGTTGTCCTCCAGAGTCCATGAGTGCCATAATAGCAAGGAGGCTGAGCTTGCTCAGGTTGGGGTCGAAGGTGGCCTTGTACAGGAGGCAGAAAATCACTGGGATGCAGAGCAAAAGACTCTGGGAGGATTTGTGAACCCTGCCTTGAGGCTTCCAGATAGCCCAGCTTCAAGGCTTGTGGCTGTTCCAGGCCCTCTTCAGGATTGGGGGCACAGGAACCAGTGGTTTCTGAACTGAAATACTGGGGTGGTAGCTCTTCCTCCTCCTCTCCTCCCTCCTCTTCTTCCTCCTTCTGCTCCTCCTCCTCTTCCTCTTGCTGTTGTTGCTGCTGTTGTTGCTGTTGCAGCAGCTGCTGCTGCTGCTGGGCTGCACGGAAAAGCCTGTATTTTTCCCAGTTGGGAGGAGGAGGGCGAGGAGGAGGAAAGGCCTTTTTCTTGGCTCCAAGAAGAGCTGACTGAGTCTCATTACCCTTGGTAAAGAGCTCCCTCTGATGCTTCCCCCAGGCCCTGGTGCTTTGAGTCTCCAAGCTGATGTGACTCTCTGAGAAAGCCCTGCTTCGTAGTGGGCGGGGCACAGAGGCAAGGGAGCTCCCATCCTCATAACCTGAAGATTCTCCAGTTTTGTTCAAGGCAAGTTTGAAGTCTCCAAGGAGGTCAAGAGAAGAAACTGCTCGGTGACTTGACAAATCCAGTGCTGAGTTCTCAAGGTGAGGATGAAAGGGAGTCCATGAAAAGCTGGTCTTGGAATGAGCCATTTCCCTGAAAAACAGCAGATGAACATTGACTAAGACAAGCAGGTTGTAGATGGGCCCATATTTTGGATGACATCATTTATGCAAAATTTATAATGACTCCAGAATTCTAATATGCATTGTAATGTAATGTTCATAGTACTGACAATATAATAATAATGGCAACTAACATTCATTATGCATATAAGTGTATCAGACACTAGTATATACTTTAAATGCTTTCCATTTCAAATTTTTCAGTTCTTCACAATAAACCTAGAAGGTAGTTACTATAGTTTGGATGTTACAATTTGTGAAACTGAGGTATAGGTTAAGTAACTGACATGGGGTCAAAAAGGAAGTAAGTGGTAGAGCCAGCATTTGAACTTGAACTGTTAAGCTCCAAAGTATAACTTTTTTTTTTTTTTATGTTGCCCTGGATGACATGGAACTCACGATGTAAACCAGGCTGGCCTCGAACTCAAAGAGATCTTCCAATCTCTGCCTACTGAGTGCTGGGATTAAAGGTGTGCACCACAGTGTCTGGCTCTCGCTCCAAAGTCTAAGTACAGACACACTACCCCAGTCTGTTTACAGCACTCAGATTGGATATGCAATGTTACGGGGCTTAGAGTCCATTTATTCTGCTTTATGGCTTCAATTGTAAAATTTTTTCATTATGAAAAGTTTCCAATACTTAGGAATATATAGATTTCCATGATGAATAGCCAGTCATATTCTCACTTACCACCCAGAATGTGATACTGGCACATTTTAATACTTTGCTACCTAAGGCTCATGAATTTTTCTTCAGAAGAAATAATACCTTTTGTGTCACTACTCATTTCAATTTCCCAACTGCCTATCTAGATGCAAGCTATATCATGCAAACTATA